CTCCCTCAGCCTGAAAAGCAAGATGAGCACCGCAATCTCTAGTCGCCTTCGACTGGACTTAACCATCCAGGGGTCCTTTGCCTTTACATCCACTGTTTAACTATGCACTGTCAAAAGAAGTGCTTTCTTCTGCCTGTGGAGGTGTGGATTAAAATGGACATATGAGCGAGAATAGCAAAGCTAAGTACATTGCAAAGTGCTTGCAGACATTAGACAAAACTGCATCTAAAAACGTGTGCAAGGAGAACTGTGCAGAAAAATGTTGATCAACTTTCATGAGAACCTTCTTAATGATGCAGCTGAACTTAAGGCTGGAAAATGAGGATCCAAGAGAGCCCCAGACAGACTGTTGTGACCATCACTTGCTCACCCAACTTTGGGAATGGCAATCGAAACCCTGTCCCACCATGCACAACCCTAACAGTGTTGTTATTCTACACCTTTTGGCTTACGAAACCTTGCCCTCTTTCTCAGTCTCCCTTTCTTCAGGTCAACTTTCTGTGTCCTTTGAAACGGCTGTTTTGTTTGTATTACGAACAAATAAACTGATTAGCAGATGGCTGTTCATTTGTTTCTCCTCTGTCGACTTTAATGCAGCACAAATGGAAATCTTATTTAAATGGATAGTCCCGAAGCTCCTGGGAGAGCAAACCTCCTGGACACTAAGTGCCTAGTTTCCCCCCACCCCACCCCACCATTTATTTTTGCAAACAAAGCAAATTGGTCCTATAACAGGGAGCTGTTTATCTTTTATGTTTTGAACATTTGGTGGCATACAGCATCGTTAAAATATATTGACCCACGAGTTCAAACCAAATAGGATTGAGAATTAACTCAGATGTTAGCCCTGCACACTTCATCTGGAGGGATGTGAAGATGCAGGAATTTATCCTTCAGGTGGCCTTTCCTTGCCCTGCATGAAAAAGGTTCCAGATGCATGGTCCAGCATCTCCAGGTAGAGCCAGAAAAGACTCCTATCCAAAACCCTGGAGAACTCCTGCCCATTGGTGCACCACAACCCCATAGTCGCCTTTGACTGGACTTAACCATCCAGGGGTCCTTTACCATACCTTTTTACCTTTACCTAGCCCAGCATACCATAAAGAAGGCTGATCGCTGAAGAATTGATGCTTTTGAATTATGGTGTTGGAGGAGACTCTTGAGAGTCCCATGGACTGCAAGAAGATCAAACCTCTCCATTCTTAAGGAAATCAGCCCTGAGTGCTCACTGGAAGGACAGATCCTGAAGCTGAGGCTCCAATACTTTGGCCACCTCATGAGAAGAGAAGACTCCCTGGAAAACACCCTGATGTTGGGAAAGATGGAGGGCACAAGGAGAAGGGGATGAGAGAGGACGAGTTGGTTGGGCAGTGTTCTCGAAGCTACCAGCATGAGTTTGACCAAACTGCGGGAGGCAGTGGAAGACAGGAGTGCCTGGCGTGCTCTGGTCCATGGGGTCACAAAGAGTCGGACATGACTAAGCAACAAAGCCCAGCATCTTGCTCTCACAATGGCCAAACAGATGCCCATGGGAAGCCAACAAGCAGGACCTGAACGCAGCAGCGTTCTCCCCTCCTGTGGTTCCTAGCATCTGGAATTCACTGCTTCTGACAGTGGAGGTAGAACACAGCCGTCAGGGTTAGTAGCCATACAAAGATGCACTGCTTTCGAAAGCGTAACTTCGTCTGGAAAGGTCGGTGGGCGTCTCTGCTTGATTTGCCAAGACAATTCTATTAAGCAGCCGTCAGTGAGAATGTTTCAGCATTCTGAACCGAGGGAGAGCAAATGGAACTATGAATTAGGCCCATCTCCAGCTTAATGTCTGTGTTCTGCAGCCCATTCCTTATCTGTCCCTTTGTGAATGTCTGCAGCAGATATATCTCTGACACGCAATGGTGATGAATGCACTTAATCACTGATGCAAGCCAGGAGTCTTTAAATGAAGCCTTTTTTTCTCTTCCCCCTTCTAGCTGACTGTTCGAGCAAGCCTAATTTGGAAAATCTGTCATCTTCCATAGTCTGAAGTTGGAGGCAATAATTTAAAACCCAGACTTGGTTAGCATGGCTGAAAGCTGAAAGCACGGCAAAGGCAGCATAAACAAGAGTCAGCTCAGTGGTGTTGATCACCAGTCACGCAAAGACCCTAGCAATTCTACCTGTTACAATGAGCCAGTGAAATTCGCCAGTGAAATTCCAGTGAAGGCACCAATCAACATGCAGCGGTGTCTGGCGAACCATGATGATGTCACAGAATCCACCCAATAAAAAAACATGCACAAGAGAGAAGCAATGGTGTCTCCCCTACAACAGATAGCTCAGTTGGGAGAGCATGACACTCTTAAACTTAGATTTGCAGGTTCAAGCCCCATGTTGGGCAAAACATCCCTGCATTGCCGGGGGTTGGACTAGATGACCCTTGTGGTCCTTCCAGCTTGACAATTATACTATTCTGCTCCTCCCTGAACTGGGATTCGAATTCCCTGGAGCCCAGTATAGCTTGCAAACAACCCTTTTGTCAGGGAAGGAAGGAGCGCACCTTCCTATCACCATCATTATTAACTTTCAGAAAGAACTTGGAAAAATTCCTGTTTACCCAAGCATTTGGTGGCTGGAGAATACTGCTCCTGCTAAACTTGAAATCACTGGTTGAGAGAACATTTTTAACTAGTTGCTTTCAGATTTTTTTTTTTAAGACTAACTGCTTTAAGATGTTTTTAATCCAATGTTTTTAGAATGTTTTGACCATTTTAGAATGTTTTTGCTTTCAAATTACGTAACTCTTTCCCACCCGGGGCTCCCTGGAGAGGAAGGGTGGGATATAAATTCAATAAATAAAATACATTTCAAAGTAGAATGTGGCAGCAACTCATTCTCACGCGCTGGGTCATCCAAGCCACGCAGAGAGCTCCTGGGGATTTGGTTTCCTGCCCAGGGACTCTAGAGTCACTGCCTTGCTCTCACCCCAGCAGCGAGCATGACTGCACCATTGGCCAGCCATCACGTGGGTGTGCAATTGGGCTCGCCTGCAAATTCCACCCGGCTTACATTCTTCAAGTAGCATTTCAAGTGGTTTTTGTTTTTCCCTCTGCTTTGTTCCTCCTGCATGCCGTTTTTGTTGTGCGCACTCACAAAATGTGCTAAGGCGCACCAAACAGATAGCAACTTGTTGGGCTTCTGTAGTAATCCAACTTATCACCATCAATTCAGTTGCTGGTTGCTAATGGACATTTCCCCCCCCCTTACACTTTAATTTCAGGACTCAGTAGGCAAGATCATAGCAGTTAGTTAACGAAAGTATGCTCATTTAATATATATATATATTATTTAAAAAACCCTCCCCTCTCATCGGCTCTCAGAAGCGGCCTGCTAACCTCTATTATTGCAGCCTCTGATCTGAGAGCTGAGCGTTTGAAAGGGGAGTTTTGCAGAGATTTGCTCTCTCTTCTGATGTGGCTGGAGGAGGAATTAAGCGAGGCCTCTTGCTGAGCCCAAGAAGAGCTGGTGTTCAGAAGGTTGGAAGGCTTCCCCGACCATCGGCAGCCAGAGAATTTGGGGTGGAGCAAAGAAAAAATGCGCTGCAGATTTGGGAGAGGGGGAACTCTTAGCAAATTAGCATCCAACCCCCTTTTCCCTGCCCCTCGGCTTAGTTTCAGCTCACAGTCATGGCAAGGAGGGACAACTAATCCCATCCAACCATTGTCTGTCTCTGGCTGGCCCTGCTGCAGCTGCCTCTGCCCGCAGGGCTCTTATGCCCACTCCCAGGGTGTGTTCCTTGTTACCTTGCTTCTGTCTACAACCCTGGAGCTACAAAAGGAGGGAAGGGAAAGGGGGAGAGAAGTGACCCAAGCCGCTCCCCATCATGTTTGGCTCCCGTAAACGGCAGCCACTGTGAGATTTTGTAGCTGCGGGTGCTTGTGTTGCATCAGAAGCAACTATATATAAAATCACTTGTGGAGTTACCTCCTTCATGCCTGTTGCTGTCAGGGCTCGAGTCAAGCGTAGGTCATCAACAAAGCAGTAAATCACCCCAGGCCAGTCAAGTTAACTCTTTATTCAAGGAAACAACCATAGCTCAAGCCTAGCTGTCTCAGCAACTCTTTCCAGGAGGTCTTGCCCTGCTGGAGCAGTTGCGAGGGCTGAAGATCCCCACCTTCCCAGTGCCCACTTGGACTCCTCCTTCCCAGGGTCTTTCCCACACAGCCTCAAGATGTGTCTGTGCTCTGCCCGTTTCATTTCTCTGTGAGTTCTAGGAGACCAGGGAAGAGGGGAGCTGGTCGCAGCAGGAGGGGGAGATTCCCTGGCTTCTTCAGCAGCCTGTCTGCACTCTACCTCTTGGCCCTCCCCACCTCCAGCCTCCGCTTCAGCCTCAGAGCCTGAACTGCTGTCTGCCACAGACTCTTCCTGCTCATTAAACCCTGTTAACTCTTCAGCTTCTGATACCTCCTCCTCCCAGTCTGCTCCTTCTCCCTCTGACCACTCACTGTCATCCCACCACCAATCCCTTGACTCAATGCCTTCTTTCCTCCTACCACTCAACTACATCCAGCAGGATCATGACAGTTGCTGTATACCAATGGCTTAGGTTGATATAACACCTGCCACTTGCTGGAGGGGCATAGGAGCCCTGGATTTTAGCCTGCCAAGGGCACTGAGGCAGAAAACCCCTGTCCTCTTTGGGCGAGAGCCTCCCCTGAAACATGGAGGCAGACCTCGGCTCCTCCCCGCTCCACCCCCATATTCCTAGCTTTCGCTTTAAAAAGAAAACGGTAAGGGCAGACTCATGCTATAGATTTAAAGCATGCAACTTCCCAGGGAAGAATGGCAAACCAAGTTGATGGACTATGCCAAAATGGCAAAATTGACTGGAAAGCTCTGGAACCAAGAAGACAAGAACTTTAAAAAAGAATGGGGGAAATTTTAATTTATTTAGGAGACCATTGTAAGCAGATGAAAACATTAGCAGGATTTTAATCTCACTTGAAACAAAACAAAAAAAATTCCTTCCAGTAGCACCTGAGAGACCAACTAAGTTTGTTATTGGTAATAACAAACTTAGTTGGTTTCTAAGGTGCTACTGGAAGGAATTTTTTATTTCGTTTCGACTACGGCAAACCAACACAGCTATCTACCTGTAACTTAGTCTCACTTGTAAGGTAACACAAATTACAGATAATTCAGATGGATTTAAGAAAAGGTGGATAACGGATTGATATGCAGTTGTAAATGTTGATATTAGGACCCATGGAGGGGAATGGAGGGGATGGGGGAAAGTCTTACGATTCAGTGCAATCTCTTTATATGGAATATATATATATATATATAATTCTTTCCCCGAAGAATCCCAAGGTCTGTTATTTGCCCCTCACAGCACTACAATTCCCAGGATTCTTTAGGGGAAGATGTATGCTTAAATGTGCTTTCAGTGTGTGGTGTGAATGTTATCTAAGTTTCTAGCATTCGTAGAACCCGTGATTCGAGGCAAACTCGGCAGCCACTATCCTCCCCATTGCTCTCGTTAGAAACGTGTAACCTTGCAGTTACATGTTTTTGTTTGTTTGTTTGTTTGTTTGTCATATTTTCGTTGCCCTGTGCCCCAAGAAACGTTCCTACAGATGCTCACACCGGCAACACAGATGAATTGGTGGGAAAGCTTCCTATTGCACCATTCCAAAATGCTCAAAGGAGTTTAGAAAAATGGTGGAGGCCAAATGAAAAAAACAAGAAAAGGAGGGGGAGGGAACAACAGAGCAATTAAATAACTCCAGCCATTAGCTCATTAGATCCCCCAGCCAACATGAAAGGCCTTACAGAAAATCAGATAAAGAAGGGCATCTCCTAATCTTCCCAGACATAACATTCCAAAGCCTTGGATGTTACCGCTGGAAAGGTTATGAAGCCTCTTGAATCCTGGCTGCGGGATTCAGACTCTACACAGTTACTGGTAATGTAATGAGCTTATTAAAGAGGACTATATATGGCTTCCTGGCCTGTCTCCAAAACACAGGCCTGCAGCAGATGTTCTCCTGTTCCATGGGAAGAGTTGCTGATTTGGATCTGATTCATTGCGCAACTGGTTCTACAACCTAGTTCTATCCCGCGCGGCCGTTATTTCTTAATAAACTAGCTAAAGGTCCTTGAGTTTGCAAGGAAGAGAATGTAGGAAGGAGTGGAGAAACCTGGTCTTCTCTCCAACTCAGCTTCGCGTTTCTCATTCCTTACCTTCCCAGAAGTTGTTGACTTCATCGCCTCAAGGAGGGCAGGGGCAGGCCTGCTTTTCGTACCTGGCGCTGCCCTGGGCCTTGTCTCAGCACCTGGCAGGACAAACCAGCCGCAAGGTCAGCAAATCACCCTATTAGATTTATCACAATGACATCACCGGGTTGTTGCTCCTGGGAAGTGGAAGGGAATCCTCAGTCCATGAAACCTATTACATCCACAAGGCCTCAGAGGTTGGCCTGCCATGACGTTTTGGGTGAGCCACGCCCACCTTTCCTTCACCCAGTGGTTTTTTTCCTAAATAAATGTCTAGGGGTACTGTCATTTTCCTACTCATATTAAGTAGGAATATTTTACTCATATTGAGTTGGCCTCAATGAGGGCAAACTTAGATTCACAAAATGTTTAGGGGTATGCGTACCCCCTGTGTACCCCCCCCCAGGAAAAAAAGCACTGGTGATACGTGACATCATTCCTGCACTGCAGGAATGACTTGAATGACTGGACTAGATGACTTTCAGTGTCCCCTCCAACTCCTTTATTTATTTATTTATTTATTTATTTATTTATTTATATTTTTAATAAAAATCTTAAATAGGTTTACAGCATATTAAATCAATAAAACAATAGCCCGGCTGTTATGTACTGAGCTGAATCCTAGAACAATAGGATCTAGAACGCAGCAGTCTGATTGGTTAACATGAGCCACCCAATCCAGCTCCAGGTGGAAGTGAATCAGTGACCCGATTGGCCTGCAGGAGCAGCCAATCAGGCTTCTGGAGAAGGTGAATCCGCAACCTGATTAGCCTACAGGAGCAGCCCGGAATTAGCCAATCACATGGTGCCCATTGTGTAAATAATGTACATATAGCTAGACGTTTTGGGGAAAGATTCATTCATTGCTACTATGAGCTGAATAAAGAGCATGAAATTCACACTCTGAGTATATTTCACCGGCAATGTTCCTCCGGCCTCATGAGGAGCCTCTTCAGTAGGGCTGGTGAGTCTGGGCCCTGCCCCCTTGGCCAGGTGGAAAGGGCCTTGCAGGGTGCGGCCTCCACGCCTCACAGCCAGGCGATGTTCCTCCAGCCTCATGAGGAGCCTCTTTTGTGGGGCATGATTTCAATTCCATGATTCTATGATCATATATGAAGTGGTTCATCTGAACTCCTCCAGCTTCTGGAGAGAGACATCAAAACAGGATACGGACCTGGATTATAGGTGGTTTCTGGATATTTGGATTAGGTTCATGGGCCCCCACAATCTGACTCTCCTGAACCAGATGTTTGTGGATCTTGGTAGCTGGAAGGCTTAAAGGAATTTTCCACCCATGCTGACCATTTTATCAACGTTGGAGGTTACATTACATAGACAAGCATTCACTCAGGAGATTCTCCTCAGTGTCCTAGCTTGTGGTTGATAAGATTAATGAGGGCTGTAAGATGTGAGTTTTGTTTTAAAATGTCGGACATGTGAGTCAGCCATTGCAACAGAACTGGTCAAGACTGTGCACATTTCATACTGATGAAAATGCTCACGAAGGAAAATGCCTGCCCAATATACTATGAAGAAGCAATTCATCATCAAGCAATAATCTTTAGAAGAAGAAAAAACACCAATAAAAGACATGCAATGTTTCAAGTGCAGATACAAACTGGAATTTTTTTTTAAAAAAATCATCTTCAAAGGAACACTCGAGAATTGTGAAAAGCAGGGCTGGTGAGGCATTTGTGTTTCAGAATAAAGACAGTTATAAATAAATTCAATACAAAGGCAGGCTGGGATGAAGATCTCCACTTAAAGGGGGTTTAGTAAGCACCAAAAATACACCATTGAAATGCAACAGGAGGGGAAGGGGTTTATGTGGCGCTGTGGGATAAACCACAGAGCCCAGGGCTTGCCAATCAGAAGGTCAGCGGTTCGAATCCCCACAACGGGGTGAGCTCCTGTTGCTCGGTCCCTGTTCCTGCCAACCTAACAGTTTGAAAGCACAGAGTGCAAGTAGATAAATAGGTACTGCTCCGGTGGGAAGGCAAACAGCGTTTCCGTGCGCTGCTCTGGTTTCGCCAGAAGCGGCTTAGTCATGCTGGCCACATGACTCGGAAGCTGTTCGCCAGCTCCCTCGGCCAGTAAAGCGAGATGAGCACTGCAATCCCAGAGTCATCTGTGACTGGACCTAATGGTCAGGGGTCCCTTTACCTTTTTACTAAAGGCCTAATGATTCCTATATCATATGGAACGGACTTCCTGATGAGAAGGGATCTACAGGAGGTCCTCTCCTGCAGAGTCAGTGATTGTTTGGTATATGAGGAATGTGACTATCCTCCAATGCTGTATAGGACTTTGTACACCTTTGTACCAGCAACTTGAACTTAGCCTGGCATGTGTTCCTATGCTCAATGTCACTGAAAGATTATGGTGAGTTTGTGTGTATGCAGAGAATGCATTTGCTTATTTCTTCACGAGTCTAAGATCCCATCCAATAACAGCTTACAATTGGAGACAGTTGCATCCCATCTATATGGGAAGGAGTGGGTGGCTCAAAACAGTTTTACCACCTGAGGCCCACAAGACCTTCTCATTTGGCTGCTTTAGTCAAGCCACGCCAACCAGCCCAACACCTGTTGTCATATGCAGCACCAACTGTGTGGTAAGTAAATATGTGGCTGTACAGACAACAATTTTTCAGGCACTGCCTACTGATCATTGGGGCTTCTGTGCAAAAACCAGTCAACTGACACCATGGCAATGTTAGGTGATGGACAGGTGGCCAGCCCAATGGGAGTTCCCCAACCCCTACTTAGAGACACAGCAGAAGACCGAGAGAGCTATGCAACTTGTGTGAGTCGTCAATCTGAATGAAGCTCAGCAGCCTGGTGGGTTTGGCGGGGAGGCTAAACCCAGATGGGTTTCTAAGCACCTGGCAAGGCACTATCTGTGGCTCTTGGACGGCATTTGGTTGGGTGAATCGCAAGTTGTGCAGGCCTGCAAAAGAGAGAACCTGGTATTGCAAAAAGCTCAAGCTATTGTGTTTGTGATCCCTGTGGAAGGGAGACCATGTGGCGGTATGTGGAGGGGGACGACTGCCCTCTCTGGATCTGAGCTTTTAAGACTGCAGTATGTGAGGGCGATGAAGAATTATTCCAATGAAAAAGAACTGTATAAATGGAACAGGGTTAGGAGCAATGCTTAGAGATTTATACTCTCCTTTATTCACAAGGCCCAAGCACTATAAATAATGCACTCTGCAGAGCTACAATAACCTCTCCATTGACAGCTCATCTGTAAAAATACACTGATCCTCTTCTTCTAATGTCTCTTAAAAAGCTCTTCTGAGAGTCTAACACTTTTGTCATCCCCAGCGCAAATTTTTGTGCAGAAGGGACGGCATTTATCACCGACAATGCAGCCCAAAGAGCCGCAAGCTGGAATTGCAAGCTGAAACCAAAGGCTTATATACACAATCCCATTTTTTAAAGACTTATAAAAGGTAGCAAACGACTTCTGGATTTTTCTCGCTACAGCTGAGTGCTGAGCTTCCACGGGTGAAGTATAAACTAGAGCTTAGCCTGGTTTCATGTTCATTTTTGTGCTAGTTGAAAAGCAGCTCCAATTTTCAACATTCTCAGCAAAAGCATTAAGGTTGCATTGATAGTGTTTGCTCATTGTATATACTGTTGCTTCTCCTTTGCCTTCACTGTCCTTGGCTTCATTGTACATTTCCCCTATACAATCACTGCTCTGTAATCCAATCAGCTGGGATGAACAATGTGAATTTTGTCAAGGATGACGTTAGGGGAAATAGCTTTGCAAAAATGTGTGCATTAGGAAAATTTGCACCTAAACCCTGGTGAATTTTCATGGG